TTTATATAAGTAAGGTTTGAAGGACTTAAGACTGGTAACTCACTTTATTTCCTGTTCCTTGTTTGGTTGTGGACTTAGAGTACCCTGTTATTTGTCCAAGTGTCATTGGATCCTTAGTTATATATTATGTATATATGTATAGATATAAAGGCTTTTATCTCAGTTCAATACACTCAGTTATAAAAACAACCCTACTAGTAAACTACAATAGGTATAGTTTAGGAAATCATTACTCACTATTTCTAGTACAATGAAACATACAAAGAGTCAGTTCATACATGAGTCAATACATACTATTATGAGAAACTATACAAATACACCATGAAGAGAAACAGATAGAGAATACTATAACGAGAAACAATACATACACTACACTATACAAGAGAACATACTACATACTAGACAGCGAGAACATACACTACACTAGTACATACAATACATACATACTATAACATAAATGTGAGTCACTACTTCGGGGCATGGCATCACTGCCATGGCTCGTTTTGTAACCAGAGTCTTCTGAAAGGAGAGCGTGAATTTGTGTATAGATCTATACTAGACTGACCGTCCTACACCTTGTTGCTAGCTACAGTGGGACCTGCAGGTCTTCGGGTGATGAATGTCATACCATTTCGACGTCTTCGAGCGTCGTGTTTACTAGGTCTATCAAGTATGGTTACAATCATATCACATTATACCTTCTTTAATAACCAGTTTAAGGTAGTTAGTACATCAGTAATCACTATAATACAACACTACAATACTATATTATTTTCCCATTGCATTCACATTGTGATCTTCTCACATAAACGGTAATGTATAACTATATTTTGTTAATGATAGTCATACGTGGGAAAATTACACACTTTCATAAGAAACAATCATACAAAATAGTCGGGCCTTGGTAGAAGGCTACTTTTAGTAGAAAATATAGGATTTTCTAGGAGATACAAACATTCACACACATTTACAAACATCTACAAACATTTACAAACTCATACTTTAAGCACTGTACAAACATTTTGATACAAACAATAACACTAAAATGCTTATGAACTCACCAACTTTAAAGTTGATAAACACTTTCAAAATAACTTGTATTCTCAAGTCATCAGTAGACAGGTACCGATGCTAGCTTTTGAGAAGATGGAGCACATTCAATACTCATCTTTTATGTTGATTCATATTTTTGGGTGTCTTATAATCTATACAAAACACTTGTATTAAAATACATTATTAATCCAATGGATGATGTTGTTTGCTTGTTTACTATTATTCTGTGTTGTGATATTGTACATGACGTCCTTCGCCCCAAAACAATTATGCCGTTCCGGTTTTGGGGTGTGACAACCTCTCCCACCTATCCAGTTAGTTTCGTGATAACTTCTCCTGTTTCTCATGCATTCCAGATGCTCCTTCCACTGCCATCATCTAGCATTTGAACATCGTCGACAGTAATTTTTTGGTGGTTCACAATTTAGGCATACTATTTTCAGGGTTGTAAAGTTTATTCCCTTGAATTTCCTTGGTATTTTCTCTTGTTAATTTTGTTTTCTATCCATTCTAACCTAGAAAACCCACCGACTTCCAGATCAAATTTCGTTTTTCTCGACGCCTCTACTGCCTCTCCACCGACCCCATATGAAGTTCATCTTCCGTCCGTCTCATTTCAAAGTTGTACCTTGGGGTGTTGGCATTCAGAGAATGGACGGTGACAAAAGCTACCAAAACCTACCATCTTCAAGCTTTCAACTTCACTGAAGAAAGGAAATTGTTCATCCAGACAGTCGCAACGAGGCAAAAGAAAGATGGGGGAAATTGGTTGTTGATGGTCAGTTATGGACCACCGCTCATATATAAGGTTTGTGCGTTCGATTGTACCAGCATGCAACACCACACCATGTTTCTTCTCCATGCACGAGCACACCACCACTCACCGATCACCACATTTCCATCCTACAATTCAACTGACCACGTCTTCTCTTGCTTCATGTTTGGTCCGATTGAGGTGATTTCTGACCCATTTCTGTTCGCTGTTAACCTAGAACTACTTGGATGATATTTTTGAATGGGGAACTACCTAGATGATGTTGCTTTATGTTTTCAGATAAATCACTCTTCAAATTTTGAATTAAGTTTCTTTTGATTTGGGATTTCCGACAATAGTGATGAGTCGATTGAAATTGTTTTGATGCATTTTCTAATTTTCAGCAGAAGCAATTTCATATAGCAATCATGTCATCGTCTCCATACCCAGTGCTACATCGTTCCTCAGTTTAGATTTCGTTTAGTTTTCATAAGAAATCGATACTATGTTTATTGCTTTTGATCTATTTTTTGTGTTTAAGGTTCTAGTAATGTTCTAGAGCTTTGCACTGGTTTTAATGGCGTTTTTCTTTGTGTGTGAGTGTTTTTTTGGAATTAAAAGTTGGCATATATTGTTGATTGAATTGAACTTCCCTGTAGTGGAAGTTTCAGATTTCAATGATCTTCAAGTTTCAACAATTTCTCAAATACTAATTGGTGTTTCTGTTATTGATGTAAAGAAGATGATGCCTGCCTGAAATATGCTTTGTTCAACATCTGATATGGTATGTTGTAATATTAGGTTAGCAATGATTATAAAATTTCTAGGTTTGGGTTCTTATTGAAAGAATGTGTATTTATTTTATTTTGATTTGGGATTTGGCCTACTAGATGATGGGGATGGGATGTGGTTGCATATGAGTTGGTACACACATTGGAATCACAATTTCTTTAGATTTTCGTTCAAAGCATCTATAAAAGGTATCATCAGTACATTTCAATTTGATGTTTTTTTTGGTTTGTTGTTCTTTGAGTATTTTTATGGCCTTTCTTGAAAATCCAAAATATTTTCGGTAGTTTCTATGGATTTTGAAAAATTAGCATTCATATATTCTTTTGATCCTTGATATTCACCATAACAAAAATGAAACACACTTTAAGACCTTTTTTCTTGACATTTTTTCTAATCATATTTTAGCACACAAATAGCTATCTTATAGCAGACAACTAAGGCAAGCATACTCAACTAATCTCATAATGAATTAGAATATATTTTAATTTAGCATATCAATTAATTTATATATTTTAGTTATCATTATCCCCTCCAACTTATTTATTTTTTTTATCTATTTTTTTAAGAAAAAAGAATATGTATTTTTAAGTAATTTTTTTTGACTTTTTTCAAAACCCTTTCACAAGGTTTAGTCCTTAAGTAGGATATGTTGCCACGAAGCTTCATAATTTGAAGGATAAGGTCAACGTGTATTATCTTCATTCCTTACTAATCCAGTTTTCCTTTTAATATAAGTTTGAATGTGCTGGTGTTTCATTTACGTTGTTAAACAATTGATTGCTCTTTTCTTTTTGAATTAAACTTTAAATTTTCCTTGCTCATGATTTTTTTTTAATTCGATTGCAGATATTAAACAAATGCTCTTGGTTCGAGTATTAACATCTGGAAAAGGAGTCATCAACTTTGGTTTTACCTAGAAATTCACTTGCAATACATTCTTTTTAATTCCATTTGTTGTTTTCATGGTAACTGCTTCATCGAAGGGCCCTAGCACATTGAAGAAATAAAAAGATGAATGCCATGGATGGGATTGTAATTGTAAGTACTCATTTGGTGATACATTTTATGCATCGCGTGGACAACTGGAAATATAGGTAGAAAAAACAGGTTGGCAGATTGACTTAGTTGAAAAAGAGAAAGCCAAAGCATTATCATACATATATATAAATAAACAATGATAAATATGAAGGGTATTTTCCGTAAAACTATACATTAACTTTAGCCAAACATAGAGTTTTGACTGAAGATAATGTTTTGAGGACATTTTTAATAACATTTGTGTGCTGGAAGGATCTGTTTACGATCCTAAATTGTAAGGAAAATTTTTTTTTTTTAAATTTTTTTTATGCTGTTTATTCCCATTTTTACTACCCTTTATCATTTGGTTAATTAGTAACATGTTTTATTGACCATGTATATAAGGGAATGAATGGTTTAAAGAACAAAATACTTAGATGTGTCAAATGATGAAGGCCAATTGAAGAATCTTCCACAAATGATTAGGACTAGAAAACCAGATTAATGTTTAATAAAATCTTTTTATTTTGTCTGTTTATTTGGTGTATCCAACCCCGTAAAGCAGGGATTCTTCCCTAGTTGAATATAAAAATAAAAAATTAATTATTAATGAGTTAATAAAGAAAAATAAAAACAAAATTTTGAACACTCAAACTTAAAAGGTAAATTATGTAAATAATGAAAGTAGTAATCCGATTGACAAAGTTTCATGCAAATTATTAATTAAAAAGCAAAAGAGAATAATCGCAGTAAAAAAGTCAAATAATAAAAATACAGGTCAAACAAATAATTACCCTACTACATGGTGCCAATAGCAACACACTTATCTTCGATCCATTCTCATTTTTCATTATTTCCTTCATTTCTTCTCCCCATTCATCTCCAACCTTACCATATTTATTCCTCCTAATCATTCATTTATTTTGGGGGAATTGAATACTATAACACCAAATGGTGTTATACTATTCATTTTCTCAAAATGAGGATAAACTTTGAGTTGTCGATTTTAGTCTTTCTTTTTATATATTTACTAGGTTATAACCCGTGGGCACCACGGATAAGAAATTTAAAAATAATTTTAATTAAAGTATAGCTTATTTAATAATATAATAACATATGTCTGATATTATTTAAGTCGTATTTATATTTTTGTATATTAAATTGAAAAAGACAAATTTATCCTTATATCAAAAAAGAAAAAAAAATATGCAATTAAAATAAAAGAACTCCTATTGCATTAATCACTGATAAGACTTGTTAAAATAGGATTTAAATTGCTAATCTCCATGAAGTTAAAAACTTAGAACCACATTCGAGCCGGGTGATACAAGAAGAAAAAATAAACTAAAACTGGTTGAACTCTTAGCATTTTCTTACAATTTTTGCATATAAAAAGTTGATAGTCATAGATGTTAAAGCATATCCTTACATATCTATTAAAAATTAAAATGCAACACATCTTGCCTTTTCATTTGTTTATCATATAACCAATTGTTTAATTTTAAATATATTTTACAAACCATTTTGTTTAAACTTTTTTGCAGGGAACATATTTGCTTTTGGGTTCTTTGTTTCACCCATGTAAGTATCAACACTTTCCATATCATTCAAAAACATAGAATACAGTTCAAAGTTTGAACTGATCATCATCTTTATTCATATCCAGATCAACATTTAGAAGAATCATCAGAAACCAATCAACAGAACAATTCTCAGGAACATCTTTTTTCCCTTCAAGCAAGTTATGTCAACCTGAAACTTTTTTCCATAGTAAGACCTTATGTATTATTCATTCAAAAGAAAATAAGTTGCAATTTAATAAAAAATTTCATGAAACCGTTGATCTAAGAACTTAAAAACTAAAAGTCATACCTGAATACAAATGATTTTTCTTCCATATCTAAAATGAATAATAGGAGCAATAACAGTCATATTGTTAAAACACACCCTATTCAGATTCCTCTGCAGAAAAGATCAAACTTTTTGGAACAAACTCAAATGATATAATCAATTTATTGTTAACAAAATTGTCAATAACATAAAACATACCGTATTGTTTTCGTTGACATGTGACAACAATTCAACATACCTTATTGTTTTCCTTGATATTTGCAACCGGAAATGCCACTGTAATCAGATTTAGGAATCTTTCTTGGTTCTGTCATCTCATCCGATTTTGCCTATTTTCACTTATTTCTTTACAGATTTACCAATTTAACTTATAATTACTGCACAAAAACTCAAAGAAATGCCTTAATCGATATAAATAGCTAAGAAGTTGAAAATTTTGTGTCATTGTGATAACCTAATAGCATGAACTTAAGTCTGGAGAAAATTGATATCAATTATTAACCAAGGAGCAAAATTTTGTAGTACAATATACACTACAATCTCATGTACGTATGAAGTCAATAAAACACGTAGCTAAATCTGGAATGTGATTCAACCATCAATTTTTCTTCGTTCTAACTTTTCCTTTGAAATCTCCCCAAAGGAATTCATAATCAATTATAAAAACAAACAAAATCCTGATGCAAAAATATGGAGAAGGAAATCAGAAACAATCGAGATGCATAATGGAATGGAATAGCTGAATAAACCGAGATATAAAAAAGATAAACAAAACCCAACTTAAAATCCATCCCATTAGCTTTATAAAAAAGAGCACAAAACAAAATAATCTACAAAATAATCCAGCTGCATATAGTCAATAATAATCTCTGAAGCATCAAGAAGAATTAATTAAAAAAATCATTATTTTGCTTAAAGTAAATCGACCACGAGCAAGATGTTTGTAAATTTTTTGAGCTTGGCTAATTGGACACCGATTTTACATGACGAGTCCCAGTCAGGGGTGGGGATCGGTGATGTGATTTGTAGAGCTGGTGGGATTAAACATGGTCTATGTAAATGTAAAATCCGGCTATATTAGAAAGAAGGTGATATGAGAGGTGAATGAGCTCCTTCAAGTCATAATAGTCCCAATCAGGGAACGTTTCTTAATATGATACTGGAACAATAGCCAAACCTAATTTGTAAAACCTAGTAAACAACAACTGATTGAAACCCTAAATCGTAGAGAAACATTGAAAATAAAGAAAAGATGTACTGTTTTTTACCTGGAAAGAAGTGAGGGTGGTGGTGAGTGGTGCTGTGCGATGGTCGTTGTGGTGAAACCTAAGGTTACTCGAGGGCATCGTGAGATGGTGGTGCGGTGGTGTCTAATGATGTTCAGGCAGTGGCAACTGATATCGGTGGTGGTGACGGTTGTCTGATTCAATGTATATATGAAGTCGACAAAAGGAATAGCATATATGATTCAAGTTTGACGAAGACTTCCTGATTTATTGTGATTACTGAAGATATTTTGATAGCTGATTGCACCAAATTCGGCGGCTGAAGTTTAGGGATTCATAATTGATTACAGATTTGATATGATTCATGAATTGGGCGGCAGAAATTAGATAGAAGTGACAGAGAGAATGCCACGTGGCTTAAGATGGTCTAAACGAAGGACAAATGTTTTTATTAAGAATATATATATATATATATATATATATATATATATATATATATATATATATATATATATATATATATATATATATATATATATTTCTAGTTTATTTTTATCTATTAAAAATAATTAAATGTAATATTTAATACTTAAAATATTATGCTAGATATTAAATTATATTAATTAATTATAAATATAAAATTTATTTTTGTTTATCAAATTTATATAAAAACTTAAATACATATTGAAATTCTAAAACACAATAATGTATTTTACAAAAGTTTATTATTAAGTATTATAAATTTAATTTTATTTATTTAATATTTTTATAATAAAAAAAATATAGATTATATATTTATTAAAATCAAATTAATAAAATAGATGTATATGATAATTTATATAAATTGAAAAATTGAAATATACTAAGAATAAATTTTCTAAAAAATAGAATAGGATCGAAAATGAAATAGGATTTTGTTATAAAATATGATTAAATAATAAGATAAATGATAAAGTAAAGAAAGACATGATAGTGGAAAGAATTTTTTATTCCAATATTTGTGATGAAATCATCAAACTTTACAATACATAATATTCAATATTTATAGTAGACAAAGAAGATGAAAGGTGATGTATGGTATGAATGCCCATTATAGTGGTGCATAACTACACTCATAAAACTCATAATAATGTTTGCTATAATGTTCACTAATTATGGAGAGTAATGGGGGAATATGGAGAATCCAATAGTCATTCACTAAATAATAATTTTATAACACTCCCCTTAAATGACGATTGTATCATGCCTCGTTAAAACCTTAATCGGTAAAACCTTATGGGAAAAACCCTTTATTAAGGAAAAAGAGTACATGATTAATAATTGATATTGGAAACAATTATCTCATTAAAAACCTTGCTAAGAAAACCCAGTGGAAAAAACATAGCTAAGGAAAAAAGTACAATATGTTTCCAACTCCCCATGATTAGCATATCACTTGATTTTCTTGAAGCACCGCATAACAATGTTTCGTACCATCTTTTCAATTTTCGATGTAGGAAGTGCTTTAGTAAACCAATCAGGAAAGTTGTTACTGGATTGAATTTTCTAGATGTTGATGCCACACTCTTTTTGAAGATCATGAGTGAAAAAAACTTTGGTGACATATGTTTGGTTCTGTCTCCTTTGATAAATCCTTCCTCGAAAGGAGCTATACAAGTTGTATTATCTTCATATAGTATGGTTGGAACATCCTTGTTAGAAGTTAGACCACAAATCTTGCAAATGTATTGAGTTAAATTTCTTAACCAAATACATTCATGACTTGTCTTATAAATTGCTATAATCTCTGCATGGTTAGAATTAGGGGTGTGCGCGGTGCGGTTTGGTGTGGTTTCGAGTCAAAACCGCAAACCACACCGCATATGCGGTTTGAGTATTTTAGAAACCGCAAACCGCACCACATATGTTCAAAACCGCATGATGCGGTGCGGTTTGATGCGGGCGGTTTATGCGGTTTAGTTGCGGTTTAACATTAAATCTATATGAGTTGTTTAACATTAAATATATCAAAAAACTAAAAACCTGACCGGGTTAAAAAAATGATTGCTTTCATTTTATAAAAACAAATACAATTTTCGAGTTAAATCGTTTTTAATAAATTGTGACTCATGTTACTATAGTTTTGTAAGTATCATTGTTAATGCTTTATATTGCCATTATAATTGATATATATTCTTTAAACCATGAGATCTTGATCTAATAGTGATTTAATGTTACGTTATAGATATTTGATTATTGTAAGAAATGTATTTATATACATCATTTCTAAATCGTGATTTGAAGTTATAACAAAAAAAAGAAAAAAAAGTATATATATAACATGCGGTGCGGTGCGGTTTGAACCGCAGTTTTATAAATACAAACCGCAAACCACACCGCATAGTGCGGTTTGATAAAATGATGAACCGCAAACCGCACCGCGAAATTCTAAACCGCATTATGCGGTGCGGTTTGGTGCGGTGCGAGCGGTTTGTGTGGTTTATGCGGTTATTTGCACAGCCCTAGTTAGAATACGTAGCAGCTAAAGTTTGTTTAACAAAATGACAAGAAATTACGTTACCTCCACAAGTGAATAAATAACCTGTTTGGGATCGAACTTTGTGTGGATCAGATAAATATCCGTTATCTGCATAACTAATTAACTTCACATTTTATGAATTTGATTAGTATAAATTCATATCCAATGTACCTCGAAGATATCAAAGAATGTGTTTGACTGTATTCCAATATCTTCTTGTTGGACAAGAACTATATTTTGCTAATAAGTTTACGACAAAAGATTTATCAGTTCTTGTATTAATAGTAATATATATTAGTGCACCAATAACACTAAGATATAGTTCTTTGTGAAAAAGAAGATTTTCATGTTTTTTATGATGCTGGAATTAGTCCTTTTTGGCATCTAAGTGCCTTATTTTCTTCGGGTTAGTCATGGATGTGAGTTATTTATATAAAACCATTTTAGCACCTTTTCTAGATATTAATGGACAAAAACTCCATTTTTGTGTACTTAATTTGAAGAGCTAACTAGAATTTCATCTTACCAAGATCATTCATTTTAAAATTTTCTTTCAAACAAGAAGTGACCTTTTTCAATTCTCTAGGAGCTTCAATTATGTTCAAATCATCTACAATAACATCAATTATGATAAATTCTTATCTGGATCTTTTTATGAATACACATGGGCTTAATGGATCATTTTTATAGCACTCTTTCAACAGAAATGTACTAAAACAATTGAAGCACATACGACCATATTGTTTCTGTAACATCCAAAATTTCAAACAAATTTAAACTTTTAAAAACATGTCAAGTTCATCAAAATATTACAACTTTGTTTTCAAAACATTGTTTATCAAAGTCTTGTCCCCAAAAATAACATAATAGGAGGAGCTGTACGATCACGCCTTGGCCTTGCCGCGATCCCCTGATGTACCTGAAACAATAAACTGAAACTCTAAGCCCGAAAGCTTCGTGAGTTACCCCAAAATACCGATACACATACAGTCCACATAGCAATATCAACATTAGCATATCATATCAATCAAAACAGAACAACATGCACTGGGTCCACAGCTTTGCAAGCTGGACTAACCCTGGGCCCTCAGTACGAGTCTGGAATGCCTATCGGGCCCTCAACTCGTATCTGGAATGCCGTCGAGCCCTCAGTATGAGTTTGGAATGCCTATCGGGCCCTCAGCTCATATTTGGAATGCTCCCGAGTCCTCACTATGAGTCTAGAATGACTATCAGGCCCTCAACTCATATCTAGAATACTCACGGGTTTGTTGGCTACCGCACGGAGCAGTACAACCTCAACCCACCCCACACAACATGTCGACATGTAACAAATAAATGCACATACAGGTAATCAATCAGTATCACAGACAGTCCTACAGATCTACCCGACTAGCATATCAACTGTCATGCATTACTAACTCAACTCAACACATCAATAACTACTAGGATATCAAATCCAATGGGCCGACCTTGGTGCCTTAGACCCCTTAGTATAGTGAGGACAACTCACCTTGTAGATGCAAGCTCGGTAATTAATCACAGCTCTCCGATCACTTGTCAAAGACTTCACGACCTATTACCATAATACGATTATGCTCATAAGTCTCTATCCTCATAGAGTACTCCATAACCCAACTAGCAAACCCTGATCAAGGTCAAATTCCTTAGTCAAGGTTAACAGTCCATGTTGACCTTAACTAATCGAGTACCCTTGGCTGCTCGCCGAGTTCCTCAAAACTTTTACCTACTCGTCGAGTCACCGGCGTGACTCGTCGAGTTCCCACGATTCTCGATTGAGGCCCTAGAGCCACTCGTCGTGTTTCTCTTCTAGTAACACGTCGATACACACGCATTCCTAACTTGGAGGAAACTCATCCGACTCGTCGAGTTGTTCATGCAACTCGTCAAGTCTAAGGCAACCTTCATCGGACTCGCCGAGTTGTTCTACCAACTCATCGAGTTCACGGCTATATTCATACGACTTGGCGAGTCGTTCTTGCAACTCGCCGAGTTCCTTTAGTCCTTAAGCCATACAGATCCATTTTAAGCCATGCAACGACTCCAAACCACAGATCCAAGCTTCCAAGGCATGCCTTTCACGTAAAGTTGCAAACTTTACGTGTATGCATGGCTAAAAAGGTCCTTAATGTCCAAAACTAAGCTCTTAATGGGTTTCATGCACAAGGAAAGCCTCATTCACGTCCAAGATAGGAACTTTATGGATCTAGAACTCGGGAATGGTCTAGATCTGAAGTTACAACCTCAGATCTAGCTTATGTTTTGCAATATTACCTTACTTACACCTCAAAAAACCCTAGATTTCCGCTATATGAGATCTAGAAGGGAAAACGGATAAAGGTATCGACTTGGTACCTTCTACGAGTGCTAGCTGAGGTAGATTTCAGGTTCAACTCCTCCTTTGCTTCTATCCCTTTGCTTCTCCAAGTTCTTCCTTCCACAAGTTCTCCTTTCAAGCTTTCAAGGCACTAATGGCACAAAATACTCGGTTAGGGTTTTCCTTTGAGTTCTATCTGAATGTAAGGATGCCAAATGGGGCTTAAGCCTCCTTAAATAGAGTGTAGAACCCAGGACTTAGGGTTTCTTTTTCCAGCTCCTACTTGCCGAGTCCCACTTGTGGACTCTTCGAGTTAGTCACTTAAGTTGCGATTCAATCCCGCTGCTACTCGACGAGTAGGGCAACCAACTCGTCGAGTAGGGCCAAACCAAGAAACTACAATTGGACAATACTTGAGAATCGGGGCATTACAACTCTCCCCCACTTGAACTAGACTTCGTCCTCGAAGTCCGCTGGTACGAACAATGCCGGGTAGTGCCCGCGCATCTC